AAATATCAATATAAACATAAATAAGTACCTAAAGCATTATTTTAACTTTTTCTTTCCACCATCTATCCATAATCCTTCTTCGTGATCTTCGCGAATGTATTTTGCTCCTATATCATCAACTTGTGAGTTTGACGAAATCTTTGAAGTATGAGTTGCTTCATCGTATAAACCGTCGTCCAACTCAACTGATGCCCTCTTCCCTTGTCGAACAACAGACCAATTTTTATCTTTAGGATCAACAATGTAATAGATTTGCGTCGCTTGAGAGGCCATTATAATAGGTTCCTCATGATGACCCAACTTTTGAAAATTCACTAATTTAAACCCCATGTCATCTGATTTAATACCCTTGTTGATATCCACCCATTTACATCGAAAAACAGGAATGGTGAAAGTTGTATATTCGAGTTCCCATATATCCTCGATCACGCCATAGTAAGTTTTGTATGATCAGATGAGTGTCGAATCTTTACCCCTAGGAATGTGTTGGTCTTATGGGGGACCATCGATCACCCTTAGGGATTCGCTACTATGCTAGTTACGGTATCGGGTACTGACAGCCCAACCTGACGAGGTACACGAGTCGTGTATCTTGCGAAGCCCCTCCTGTCCATCCACCGCTCAGTAGTGGGGCTCCGCACTGCCGTAGTGAACTATAGGGGGTGCCCTATAGGAATCTACCTCGGCTTGGGGCTACAGAGAGATGTGGTTAAATACAAAGTGTCCACCTCTCTATCACCAATTGGTTTTAGGAAGCATTTGGCACCTCTTTAACTTCAGAACTCTGTAGTTAAGCGTGCTGGAACGGGAGTAGTCCCAGGATGGGTGACCCACTGGGAAGTTCCAGAAAACGATCCTACAAGTGGTATCGGAGCGAGGAAGCAGGCTCAAATCTCCCGGGTGTCGCTGGGGGGGAGATTGTTGGTCTTATGGGGGACCATCGATCACCCTTAGGGATTCGCTAGTGTGCTAGTTACGGTATCGGGTACTGACAGCCCAACCTGACGAGGTACACGAGTCGTGTATCTTGCGAAGCCCCTCCTGTCCATCCACCGCTCAGTAGTGGGGCTCCGCACTGCCGTAGTGAACTATAGGGGGTGCCCTATAGGAATCTATCTCGGCTTGGGGCTACAGAGAGATGTGGTTAAATACAAAGTGTCCACCACTCTATCACCAATTGGTTTTAGGAAGCATTTGGCACCTCTTTAACTTCAGAACTCTGTTGTTAAGCGTGCTGGAACGGGAGTAGTCCCAGGATGGGTGACTCACTGGGAAGTTCCAGAAAACGATCCTACAGAATGTGTAGAGAAAAAGCATTCAATGACACACCGCTATTCTGTACTGTACTCTTCTCATCCCGGCGTTTTGTGTAAAAATAATAGCCATTGATATAGTACCCCTCGTAAGAAGATACATTTACCGAGGGTCCTGTAGCTAATGATCGCACATTTTCTGTGACATTATGAGGAGAATGTATTGTTTGCCAGCGAACATGCTCTTGAAACCATTTTAGAAATGTATGATTGTGCTCATTCGTCAACCACCTCTCAGTTTTCCCAGGGTTCTGTTGTCTTAAAAGAGACATGTGTTTCTCTAAATATGGACGAACATCATCTGTTTGTTGTAAAATATAGAGTTGTGCTAAACCGAACATTTCAGAGTCAAGATGGATGATGTGATGTCCTATTGTTCCTTTCCCCTCAATTCTATCTTCATGCCGAGACTTCGGTACCCCAACCGTGCACTCCAAATCCAAATACTCGCTACAGAATTCAATAATCTCTTCTGCCAAGTATCCTTCAACAATACTACCTTCAGG